GGCAGCTCCCCCCCTCTGCCCCGAGGTGCCCCCGCGGCACACACCCCCCTTGGGGAGCCGTGCGGCAGCTCTCCACCCCAGCTCACCTCTGCTCCGCCTTCTCCCCGAGCACGCCACCCCCGCTCTAATTCTCCTCCCCTCCCAGGCTTGCAGCGCCAAACAGCTGATTGGCACTGCAAGCCTGGGAGGCGGGAGAAGTGGAGCGGCGACCGCGCGCTCGGGGAGGGGGCGTATGAGCACTGTAAAAAAAAAAAATTGGGGGGACCGCTTTTTGGCGCCCCCAAATCTTGGTGCCCTAGGCAACCACCTAGTTTGCCTAAATGGTAGCACTGGCCCTGATTGGGTCAAACCATGATCCTGAATCAGAACACACCCTAGATTTGGGCTGCCAGACATTCACTTCCAGATCTGTATTTTTCAGCTTTAACTTACCTAAATTAGCACATCTTTGTCTGCCCCTTTCAGAAAAGATTCTTTGTTAGGTGTCTGCAGGTACTGATCATTTTACATACATCATAATAAATACATTGAGTACTAGAAGTTGAAGTGAAACTCTACAGGCTTGGTTAACAAGGTTCAATCAAATATTTTCTTTGTTTTTAATACATCTCAGGTTCTTGTCTCCCAAATATTGCTGATCCCTTGCACAGTCTTAAATTGTACATTTCCAAATGGCAACATGAAATCAATAGAATTTTGAAGCCATATATACATCACAATAATGGTATCCTAGATATGTGGCAGCTAATTACAAATGCCATCCACTTATAGTGGAAGCTTTAATCATTATTCGATTACTTGCCTGCTTTTTACTTCAGCTCCTTCTCCGCATGTATTTGCTTCCAGCTTACAACTTTGCCATCTATTGAAACACCTTTGTCCTTCATCTGTGTTTTCTCCGTAGAGGTGCTTTTTCAGAAGTTTTCCTAGTGAAGCAAAGGACCACTGGGAAGCTCTTTGCTCTAAAGTGCATCAAAAAGTCCCCTGTCATCCAGGACAGCAGCCTGGAGAATGAAATCGCAGTGCTGAAGAAGTGAGTATAATTTTGAATGTGAAGCAGAGCAAACTATTTTTGCCTGACCTGCACCTTTAGAACCAAAACCATCGATCACCCTAGGTATAACGGCCATTTGCCGCTGCTGCACAAATTTGCATCTCATTAAAGGTGGAAGAATGAGATGAAAAGAAGATCAATGTTTGGTATTTATTTAAATGATCAGAAAAGAGGGATATTTGTAAAGTTTATTTACATATGCCCCTTGCCAAGCCCAACAGTTTTGCAGGAGAACCAGAAAAAGAAACCGACTAAAACCAAACAGCATAAAGAGTGACAGGAAAATTAAATTTTCACCACTGTCTAAAAATAACAATAGAGACTTGTCCTTCGCTCACCAAAGGAATGCAAAATGCTACCATTTTGCTTTGACAGTGTTTAACACCCACTTTGCACTGGTGTAAATGGCGACACACTGCAGGGCAGGAAAGCATCAGCCATAAAGGAGCGAATGCACGTCAGCCAGGCCCACGTGGACAGTCAGTCTTCAGCAGGCTAGTGCAGGGTCAATTCACACCTCCTCTTGCCACAAATTAACGTTCATGCAGACAAGCCCTGATTCTCCCCTCTCACTCCTGCATAGATCAGGAGTCACTCTTTTGGAAGTGAGTGGAATTTTGCCCAGAGAAAAACTGGTGTGAAACAAGAGGAAGATTAGGTGCATGACTTTCAGCTTGACAATGCATCTTAACCTTTTAAGTACATAAAAGGTTGTTACAAGGAGGAGGGTGAAATATTGTTCTCATTAATCTCTAAAGATAGGACAAGAAGCAATGGGCTTAAATTGCAGCAAAGGAGGTTTAGGTTGGACATTAGGAAAAACTTCCTGTCAGGGTAGTTAAGCACTGCCTAGGGAGGTTGTGAAATCTGTCCTTGGAGGTTTTTAAGGACAGGTTAGACAAACACATGTCAAGAATGGTCTAGTTATTACATATTCCTGCCTTCAGTGCAGGGAACTGGACTAGATGACCTATCAAGGTCCCTTCCAGTCCTACACTATTATGATTATTCTCATCAAATAAGTTTGTAACCTCTGTTCGTCTTTGCTGGTTGCAGAATAAAGCATGAAAACATTGTGACCCTGGAAGACATTTACGAAAGTGCAACCCACTTTTACCTGGTCATGCAGCTGTAAGTACCTCTTTCTATGCTTCATAGAAACAACCATAACATTTTCCTGGGTGCCGAGTGTCCATTTCAGCATCCCCATGCAGGATTCAGGCACTCAAATCTGAAAGTCAAATGCACAAAAATATCCACTCTGACATGTGCTTCATCAATGAACTGTGAACAACAGGGTTTGAGATGCAACTACCCTAGACATTTCTCCATTGTGCATGGGCCTTCTTTTATATTAGTATATTTCTAAACTCAGATCAGGATCTAATTCCTCACCGTTTAGCCGGACAGGAATGGGCAAGTTTCTAATTAAAGCTATGCTATGTATTGGGCCTGTGAAAGGGAAAATGGGCAAATGTGTCAGCAGTAAAGAAAGCAGCTAGCTGTAAGGAACAGTTGAAGGTGTCCCTGTTGTGATGGATAGATTAAGTGTGGATTCCTCTAACGAGGATTGTTTTACTCAGATTAACTCTCAATAAATCAGGTCATGTGATGGAGGCTGGAAACAGCTCAACACATGAAGCTGAAAGTCAGAAGGGAAACCCCGCCAAGCCCCTGGGGGTTCAGACAACCAGGTAGCAGCAGCATAACCCAAGGCAATTTGGGTTTAAGAAATTTTCCAGTTGTACTTATTGGCTCCTTAGGAATTATACTAGTGAATTATTTATGGAGCATTTCAAATGCTTGTCTCAGATTGAAGAGCCAAATTGGCTGCATCGAGGCAATAGGTTTCAGGGCTATCCCAAACTTTGCTATGTACATGTCATGGGGCTGGTACACCCTGTCACCCTTTGGGGGAAGGGGGAAGGCGCGTTATGGCCCCGCAACTGAGTTTAAATGACCACTCCTAGTCTTGAAGCAGTATGGCCTAATGTTTCAGCATTGTCAAGGTGGTCCTCCTACACTGGGCTGTGTGGGCCTAATGGCCGGAGTCCATATAGCTGCCCTCTTTGTCAGGGCTGTGTGGCCTAGCAGCCAGATTGGTTGGAGGGGTGGGCCGCTGCCTCAGGGTAGGTGGCAGCCAGGGTAGGAAGACCTGGGCCCTCCCCACTCCACGAGGTCCCAACCCAGGGCCCTGGCAGTGGCGGGGTTGCCTGCCACCAGTTTGGCAGGGATCCTGCCAGAATACTCCGAGCTAAGCCCTGGTTTTTCCCCTTTAAGTTTCCCTGAGTCACTTGCTACCCGTTCCTCCATGGCTTGTCTTGGGATTCCCAAAGCCTCTCCTCCCTGTGGTGTCAGATGTCGGGGGGTCATGGGTCATCACCATCTAGCTGGTCTCCATGACCTGAAGTGCTGCTGGCAGTCCCGCTACAAGAACCTACAGCCCATGTCCCTTCCCTTTGGCGGTCAGTCCCGCCTGAGCCGAGTTGCTCCCTTTTATATCCGTGTTCCAGCTGGAGCATGCCAGGCAGAGCTGAGGGGGCGTGGCCTCCTTGGCCCACAGAGTAGGATTAACCCCTGCTGAACCAGTGTTTATGCATCCATTGGCACTTGTGCAAGGAAAGCCTAGATACCATAGTGATTGTGAGCTAGATAAAGATCAAGTAAAATTTCCTGCTCTTGCCTTTTATTAGTTTTTAATATCCATACTCTTTAGCTGATGGTGTGTACTAACTTCCCTTCAGGGTGTCTGGCGGGGAGTTATTTGACCGAATTTTGGAACGAGGAGTTTATACTGAGAAAGATGCAAGTGTAGTGATCCGACAGGTCCTGGCAGCAGTGAAATATCTCCATGAGAATGGAATAGTTCACCGAGATTTAAAGGTATGTAGCCCCTGTGCTTTTTGGAAACAGCATTGCCCTGTGATGTTAACAATGTCTGCAATGCAGCACTGCAGGGTTCACTAGAGCACACAGTGAAATTCTACTAATGCTCACCAGCTTTTTAAGATCATGTTAATATCACTATCACCACCCAATAGATCATCCCCTTGGACTTTCATCACCAAAAGCACACAAGGCTCCTATGTAAGGTGCAGGGGCCACTCCATTTGGTGGTAACAGTAGCAGGTTGCACCAAACACACTTATCCATCAAGTTGTGCTCAGTGAGTGTTAACCTGACTCCTGAATTCCACAGAGCCACTGCCTGGAATTGGAACCTCACTCTGTATTCTGTGCAGTAACTTTCTAGAGGTTTTAGTCTGAGTCATCCTACTGTTCATTCTGCTGGCCTAGTAGTCAAAGAGCGTCTTGAAATGGCAAGTGAACTGTTTACAAATCAATTAACTCCAATGGCTCTCTTGACATAGGGGCCTCTAAAGAGAGGTCAGTGGCATAATCCATTGTTTATACCAGTGTCCCCTGGCGCCAGCAATAGGAACTACATATACAAGCATATGGGTACGTAACAGGGCAAGTCATTGCTGGAGACATTGCTGGTGAGAATACAGACATGGGCCTATTCTGGCCTGGATTCTTTAGACAATGTCACTTCAGCTCAGGATATCAGAAGTCAAGGTTATCAGTTTTTCCCCAAATAAGGCTGCAGCATCAGCAACAAAATACAGAACTCCTTTGGACTGAGTGTCAATATTGAAGTAAAACTATCTGTACTACGGTAGGGTCCAGGGGCCCCACACATGTAGTGCAAAACAGCCCAGGCCCCAGGGAGTTGACAGTCTAGGTTCTAGAAGGGTGCTTATCTGATGCTCATCTCTGCAGTATCTGAATGCCTTGCTCTCACTGATGGGTTTTTATCTTCAACAGCCCTGTGCAATAGGGAGGTATTACCCACCCTTCTAGAAAGGCAAGTGAAGCACAGGGTAGATGAAATGACTTGCCCAGGGTCACTCACAGGCTGTGTGGCAGTCAGAGCTAGGAAATTAACTTGGGTCTCAAGTCCCAGCCCAGTGCCCTACCCACTAGAGCATCCTTCCTACCTAAAACAAAACCAATATAAGAGGAAACTAGTTGGTAGAGCAGACAACAGGCATGGTGGGGAGAGCCTAGGAATGTATTCATCATTTTACTGATGTAGTTTTAGAGTCACCCTTATATCCCTGGCCACCATTATTTTTATTTGTGCATGAACAGAAGCACAAATGAACCTATCATTTGTTGATTGTAGTTGTCCCTCTTTGTCAGTGCAGCATTTAAATTCTGAACATTTCTTACCAACAGCCTGAAAACCTGCTTTACCTGACTCCTGAAGAAAACTCCAAAATCATGATCACAGACTTCGGCTTGTCTAAAATGGAGCAGAATGGCATCATGTCCACCGCTTGTGGGACTCCAGGATATGTTGGTGAGCAAGGGGGAAAGGATGCACTCTCACTGATGACCTACATGACACAGGCCCACATAAGGCACTTTCCGGAAGAAAGCCACAAAATAACATGCTTATGCATATTAGTAACATGCTAATAATAAATACACTGTGTAGGCTACAGAAGAATCAGATTAGGGACATGTTTTTTAAGGATGGCAAAATCTCAGAAGGCTTAAAAGAGAAAAGAAAGTGTGCAAAATAAATTTTTTAAAAAAATGTTCATCCTAATCTTGAAGTTATTCAAGAATTCATTTTCTAATTTAAAAATTGAAAGCAATGGAAGTTTTGCTTGCGTAAGGATTTCAGGATTTGGCCTGTAAGAAGTAGTTTTTTGGGACATTCCCTTGTCTGGTTAGCAGAACGTGTCTGAGACAGCTTGACCTAATGGCTTGAGATCTCCAGCATTCCAGCGTTCTAACCCATCTCCAAATTGCACTCTGGCCTTGTGCCAGTCAATCAGCCTTCCTTTGTATGTTGCCCATCTGTAAAATGTATTTATTTCATATGTCTAAAATGTAACAGTAGGGAGCCCATTCTAGGTTCTGGACCCCAGTCCATACATTGAAAATCACAATAAAAACAAATTAGTATAATGACCCATATATCACAAGGGATGCTAGAACTAATTAATGCCCAGACAGCATTTTGAGGCTATAAAGTTCTGTAAGAACAACCAAGTATAAAAGGTAAAACAGAGAACCTGGCTCTTTGAAACACACAGGAACTGAGATCCAAAGGTTGGAAGCTGAAGCTAGACAAATTCAGACCATAAGATAAAAAAAAATGTAACAGTGAGGGGAATAACCATTGAGAGTTTACATGGTGGATTCTCGATCACTTCAAGTCTATAAATCAACACTCAATGCTTTTCTAAAAAGAAGAGGCCGATAGCTCAACCAGAGGTTATAGGCTTGGTGCACACATTACTGAGCGAGGTTCTCTGGCCTTTGTTATGCAGGTCAGACTAGATTATCATCATGTTCTTTCTGGTCCGAAAATCTGAGTCAGTCGCCTTGCTGCTGCTTGGGATTTGGTGGGTGGCAAATGCACAGAACTGTTTGTGCACACAGCAGACACTAACTCCCTCTCCAGTATGAAAGCCTCACAAACCAGGTCGATGAGAAGCCATTTTTTTATGTCAAATCATTCACTGTCCTGAAATGGTTTATATTGCCTATAACTTTGACTTGCTTTTGATTTCCTGTAGCTCCAGAGGTCCTAGCACAGAAGCCATATAGCAAAGCTGTAGATTGCTGGTCTATAGGAGTCATTACCTATATCTTGTGAGTACAAGCCAACAGCACCCTTGCTTTTTTGACACATGCTCAGGATTCTTCAGTGGTGTGGCCCCTTGTGTGACCCCCACATATGCTTGTGCAAAATGAGTGTGACATGCCACCAGCTTAGGAGCCCCCATTTGTTCCCAAGGTGAAAGGCAGTGAAACTCAGTGTAATAAAGACCGCAGTCCAATTCACTATAGAGCCCACCCCCTGCACTATTCCTTCAGTACCATAACTATCACTCAGCATCTCCTCTGTTTCTAGGTTCAGCTGCATCCCATTAGCTGCACACCAGCTGTGGCTTTGTCCTGACATCGCTGCACTGAAGCTTTTAACCTTTTTCTGAATTGTTTCACCCATTGTCCTCTATTCTTCACTTATCCCTGGGATACACACCAGCTGATCCTGGTAAAATTAAAAAAAACTTGTGTGCGTGGAGAGAGGAGCTAATCCACTTCTTCCTGTTCTGCTCCAGGCTGTGTGGATACCCTCCCTTCTACGAAGAGACAGAATCCAAACTGTTTGAAAAGATTAAAGAAGGCTACTATGAGTTTGAGTCTCCATTTTGGGATGATATCTCTGAGTCAGGTAAATCTCACGCACTGGGAAGCACATTATTAGCACCCTGTCCCCTCTCAGGCATACAACATCTGCAATCCAGAATTCTCCTGATCTTGGATAGGCTGAAATCTACAAGGGAGTGCAAGTGAAGGGGAGTTAAGTGAATCACATCCTCACATTTTCCACAGCAAGTTATTCTCTTTGCTTCCTGGCCACAGTTAAGGGTTTCCATGCACCTTCCTCTGAAGCATCTTGTACTGGCCAGAGTCAGAGATGGGATACTGCAGTGGGTAGGCCACAGGTCTGATCCACTCTGATAATCGCTACATTTTAGCAATAAAACTTGACCCATCTTCAGTTACATTGCTTAAGGGGCCATGTTCTCTCCATGGAGCACGTGTCCATTTTACCTTTGGGACGGTGTTACAATACTGTGAGTTTAGACATGGAACACTTAACACTTAAGCAGCACGTTTTATCTGCCAGCATTTGTTGTGTCAGCCTTAGGACTACTTCCTGTACGTGCTAAAACATGATTCTATCTCTGTTTCTCACAAACAGCCAAGGATTTCATCGCTCACTTACTGGAGAAGGATCCAAATGAGAGGTTCACCTGTGAGAGAGCCCTGAGGCACCCCTGGTGAGAGGAACAGGTCTCCTACCGTGTGCATGTGCACTTAACATTGCCAGTCTCAGCATTTTAGTACTAGAGGGCTATCTGTAGCCTACAGAATGGTGATGTGTTACTATTCTCTAGTATTTTCTTTGCAATCTGACTTGGAATGTTCTGTCTGTCCTTTTTTGTGAGGAAAGTGGTTATTTGTGCACAGTTCACCTTTAAGATGGAGGGGAAACAATCCCACTGATATTTTCTCAACTCTGAAGTGTGTGTGTGTTTGTATTATGTTTTGTTGCTGTTTTTCCTTTGGGTTTAATTACTCTTGATTGAATGTACAAAGCAGTTAGCTGCCTCCAGAATATGGAATGCCTCTTAAATGCCATCTGCCTACAAGCCTGTTTCTTCTCTCCCCATCTGCAGGATTGATGGAAATACAGCCCTTCACCGGGACATATACCCATCTGTCAGTGCTCAGATCCAGAAAAACTTTGCAAAGAGCAAATGGAGGGTAGGTTGTTTGCCATTGGGAGCTCTAGAACCATTTCCAGCGCAAATGCCAGTTGCTGCCATCTAGCCAAGAGCACACCTTCAATACCATGAATAAGCACCCACAAATTGGACCCCTTCCCCAGAACTCAGTTTGGACATCTTACATGATCATTATTTATATTATGGTAGGACCAAGAGGTCTCAACTGAAATTAGAGCCCCTCTATAGTGCTGAACTTAATGCAAACACAACCCCACACACAAAGGGTGGGAAGAGGATGGATTACAGTCCCATATTACACCTGGGGAACTGAGGCACCAAGCAACTGACTTGCCTGTGGGAATTGAACCCAGGTTTCTTGTCTTACCCACACACCTGTCCTTCCTGTCAGCTAATCGTGCGAGATTGGCACTGCTTCCTGGTTGCAGTGAGGTTGGCAATGCTGCAAGAACAGCCTCTTCCAAAGTTCTTAGTTACTTTGTTCAACAAAGTGAAGTGAAGCACTGGAATGGGGTCCCTAGGGAGGTGGTGGAATCTCCTTCCTTAGAGGTTTTTAAGGTCAGGCTTGACAAAGCCCTGGCTGGGATTATTTAGTTGAGGATTGGTCCTGCTTTGAGCAGGGGATTGACTAGATGACCTCCTGAGGTCCCTTCCAACCCTGATAATCTAGGATAGGGTTCAGTTTTGAGCTAAATCTTGCAGCTCTGACCAGTCTATAAGCAACGAGTAAATTCCACAGCTGACTTATCAAAAAGGGGGTGGGTGAAATTCTCTCCTGCCTTTGCTTATGCCAGGGTTGAACTTGGCCCATCAGAGCAGCATGGCACTGGGCAATGCAACTGCAGTAAATCACTATTCAGGAGATATCCTCCATTGACACTGCAGCATCCAGGTAGCTTTGCAGCTTGGGAGATCGTCATGGTTGTTTTATGTCTCCTCTTGCTCAGCAAGCCTTCAATGCTGCAGCTGTTGTGCGCCACATGAAGAAACTCCACATGAACTGCCATGCACAGCCTGACATGAGCCTCCCTGTCATACAAGTGTCAGAAGTATCCAGACTCAACAGCCCTATGGTCACCAGCCAAGAGGTACCCACTCAAGACAAGAAGATGCTAATCCCCATGTTAGCATGTCCAATTCCTCCCAGCCAGCTTGACCAAAACACCCGGATGACACAGAGCAAGTCACTAGATCACTTGGTTAATGGGTCACTCCCAGTCGACAAGTGCTTGATCCTGCCGGACAATCAGAGCCCTCCAACTCTAACTTCTTGCGGTTGCAGTTCAGCCTCTGAGGGGCATGAGAAGGTGAAGACCATCTTCTGTTCGGAGTCAGCGCTACTTAAAAAAGCTGCCAAAAACCAGTAGGTAGCCACCTTGTCCATTCTAAATACTGACCCAGGTTTATCTTCACAGCACAGTCCCTGCAACCAAGTGGCACTGGGCTTTGTGGAAACCTGGCGGATGCATTCCGTTCCAAGCACCAGGTGTAGGTGGGAAAGAGGGGAGGGGAAAAGGACAGATGGAAATTTGCAGTGGCCAGCCAAACCCCCTCCCACTCCCTTGGAGGGGAGCCTGGGGCATCAGGTTGAGACACATTGGCCAGGTGACATGGCAGAGCTTGCAATGTACTGATGTACCAGAGGACTTCACTCCCCAGCATCCTCAATCTGGTGCCTTTCCATAATTTGGAAGGGCCTATGATTTTTTTTTAATTTTTATTTTTTTTGCAGTTGCTAAAAATACTGGTCCTGCTCTTCAGCTGGCATTAATCATAGCTATACCATCTGAGTAGCTGGCCCACTGTTAATATTAAAAAAAATAGTTATTTCTGCTCAATGGAAGAATGGACCTAGATTTTGCTCTTCACTTTTTTTGCATTTTTCTCTTTTCACCCCTCTCCCCCCAAACCAGTCACTTCAAATCAGAGGTTATCGTACCCATGAAAACCAATAACAATTCATACCGTGGCACTGGGCAAACTGGTGTGTGTTTGGTCATGTGATTGGCAAGTCATCCATTTGAGCCAACACGTCTTTAACGGTAAGTGCACCAAGATCAATAGGATTATTGCTATAAAATGAAGCAAAAAGTCTGGCTTTTCTGGGTGGAATAAGTTTGTTTTGGTTGTAATCATAGCTGATGGATGTCGTGGCAGCAAGAGTCTGACAAATTGAAGCATCTTTCAACTTCTGTTTAGACCAATTCTGTGAATCCAGGGGCCAGATTGGTTTCCATGGGAATTGCTCGCATCCTGTTGCATGAGAATAGGGCCCCTCTAGGTTCTATTCTGTAGAAGAGAGGTAGCACATAGGCCTGCCATTCTGAACTATACGCAATTGGGCGTTATTAAATCAGAGCAACTACACAGTGGCCAGGTCTGTGACACGGGATAAGTAGCCTATGGCTAATGTCAGTAGTGACCGTAAGCTGTTGCCATATGACTGCTCTGCGGTAGCCTGTATAAAATGTGATTTGAAGGAGTCAGTCCAGCACAGAGGAGGCAAGTGTCCACATCACACAAAGCACTAGCACGGTCAGCACTAACCGGCTCCTTTGGCATTCTCAGCAGACATCCAGGACTGATTGGGCCATGGAACCTGAACTACTTTCCCATCCTTAGCTGGGATCCACCCAAGTCAGGTCTGAGGCACAGTGACCCCGCAACATAGGGAAGCCTGCACTGCTACCCAAAGCTCTGCTCTTGATTAAAAGAGATCACGTAGCAGAGGCTTTAGGAATGTCTGTGTGAGTGTGGAAGTGGCTTTCAGGACTGCAGATGAGATGAATTATGGATTAGTTAAGCAGACATTTGCACTACTGTAAGTAAGTACTAAGAAGTATTACCATTAGACATTACATGAAGGAAAATATTCCCCAAACAAAAGTAAGAATGTTAGCTCAGTTCTCCTCCCAAGTAGATGTTGAGAAGTCAGTCTTGCTTTATATCAGGGGTCGGCAACCTATGGCACGCGTGCCAAAGACGGCACGCGAGCCGATTTTTAATGGCACGCTGGAGCCTGCCGGGACTCCAGCATGCCATTAAAAATCCTGCCCAGCCCGGCCCGCTCTCCTCTGCCCTCCGCTCCCCCCGCGGGGGCAGGGAGCAGAAGCATAGCCGTGCACACGGGGTGGGCAAATGACCCCACTCTCCCGGCATGGCAAGCCGTGGGGTCCGCACTCCTGGGCCGGAGCGCAGCAAGCTGCCGGCCCCTCTCGTGCCTTCTCCCCTCCCCTGGAGCTCTGCCGCCGTGCGCGCAGCACTCTGGGGTAGGGGCTGCGCGCTCCCGCAGGGCAGTGTTTGGCTCCACGGGGAGGGAAAGACGCTCCCCGCTCACCCGGAGCCCTGCCGCTGCGCGCACAGAGCTCTGGGGGCCGAGGCTGCACGCTCCCGCGGGGCAGCTTATCAGGCTCTGCGTGGAGCCTCATGGTAAGGGGTCTGGGGCTGGGGGGGCTGGATAAGGGGTGGGCATGGGGGCAGTCAGGGAGCAGGGGGGGTTGGATGGGGCATGGGAGTCCCGGGGTCTGTCGGGGGGTGGATAGGGGTCAGGGCAGTCAGGGAACAGAGAGCAAGGAGGGTCCTGGGGGGGCAGTTAGGGTGGGGGGTCTCTGGAGGGGGTGGTCAGGGGACAAGGAGCTCGGGGGTTGGGAGTTCTTAGGGCGGCAGTCACCCAGCCCTCTCCCCTGAGCCCTGACCCCCCCCACACATACACACGCTGCCCTCCACCCTGAGCCCCGCACACACCCCAGACCCCTGCCCTGAGCCCTGTACCTCCCTCATACACACCCAGCCCTCTGCTTGACTACTTCATCCCACCCCCACAACCCTAGCCCTGACTCTGGCACCCCCACACATCCCCAGCCCCCCCTCTGCTCTGACACCTGCACCGCCCCACATCCCCAGCCCCCCCATACCCCATGGACCCACCACATCCCCACCCAGAGCACCAAACGGGAGCTCCTGCACCCCCCCCACATTCCCATCTGCACCCCTCGTATCAAATGGGAGCTGCCCAGGTAAGTGCCCCACACCCGAACCTCCTGCCCCAACCCTGAGCCCCCCTCCCTCATTTTAGCTCCTGGCCCGACCCTTCACCCCCAGCCCTGTGCTCAGTGCACTGCCACCCTCAGCTCAGTGCAGAGAGAGGAAGAGAATGGACAGAACCAGGGAGAAGGTAGGTACCCACTGTATGTGGGGAGGGCCAGGACCCCAGACTGGCAGCGGGCTGAGTGGATCCGGCAGCCAGGATCCCGGCTGTCAGAAGCCGGTGGATGGAACCCCTGAGTGGCAGTGAGCTGAGCCGCTCAGACCACTGCCGGTCTGGGGTCCTGGCCGCCGGCCCCACACAGCCCACTGCTGGTCTGGGGTTCTGGCTGCCGGATCCTTCCCACCAGGGTCCTGGCCGCAGGCCTCGCTCAGCCCGCAGCAGGCCTAGGTGAACAGAACCCCAGACCAGCAGCGGGCGGAGTGGGCTGGGTGGCGTAAGATCAACATTTTAATTTCATTTTAAATGAAGCTTCTTAAACATTTTGAAAACCTTGTTTATTTTACAATACAATACTAGTTTAGTTATATAATATATAGACTTATAGAGAGACCTTCTAAAAAACATTAAAATGTATTACCGGCCCGCGAAACCTTAAATTAGAGTGAATAAATGAAGACTCGGCACACTGCTTCTGAAAGGTTGCCGACCCCTGCCTTATATTATGGTTCCAATTTTTATATAAAGGGTTAATAGATGATAGACATGAGCATATGTGTTATAAGTGGCTTTATGCACATCAGTAGAAGGTTATCAACCTGTTGGAGTCTATTTCAATGTATTAATCCTTTATAAACCACAGATTAACGAAACCAAGATGGCCCTGGTGCTGTTTGTTAAAGCAATGTGTGCTGGAGGAACTGTCCACTGAAACAATTCCAATAGTGACTTTGAACTCTCTCCTATTCCAGAAGGGCTGATTTACTCATTTCTGCGCTTCACAGCCAGACAGCAATAGCACAAGCAAGAGGAGAGGAGACTGAATCCTGGCAGAAGCAGATGGAGAGCCATTGTCTCAAAGGAGAGTGGCCATTTGTTGGAGAGCTGCACACTTTTTACTCTTAAGTAATCCTTCAGAGCAACAACCTTGAAGAGAATCTGGCTCACTAGAACATGGAGCAGTTGCTTTAGAGAAGGGAGGTGTATGGGCACAAGGCTTCTGCTAGCACCTTCCATGTATATGACACATACATCATTGCACAAGGCTGTATCTTGGTTCTTAATATATATTGTGGAGTTGTTCAATGTGTAACAAATGTACTGCACAGTATAATTCTTTTAAAGCAAAGCCATATGGTGTTTATTTAGTCACAGGCATCCCAGCAGTTTTTACAGTCTATACCTCTCTGTTAAGACTTCAACAGGCTGGAGCTCAGATGTAAGAAGTTGTCCAGTAACAATGGCCTGTCTTGGGTGTGCAGTTTTCCTTTTAAGCTGTGAAAGGAGAGAGCCTGCTACCATCCTCCACATGCCTGATGATAATCAAAGTGAGGTCTGAATTCCCTGTTTCCAAGTCTGTAATTGTGTAATAAACACCGTGCTTAATAAAGCTGACTTTTATTTTGTAAAGTGACGATTGGTTAGAGGTGGAAGTACTCTCTTAAATCTCCCAAGACAAATTCCCACTGCCAGCGCAGAGTTGTTCCCTACACTCTTCTGTCTGCAAAGTATTGTTTGAAAATAAGCAGGTGCTGACGAAGTCAATCTGGGTGGTATTTAACGCTACCTTAGAGCACCACTGCTCTTACATTTGTGTAAATAGGGCTTTTAGTGTTTACCTCAGTTAACCACTCCTGGGAATGGTCTTATATTTAGCTGTGGCCTTCATCCTGCCCCTCTTATGACTTTCTTTGAAGAACTAAATGCAATATACCAGAAAAGGTTATTTTTTTAAAAAAGGCCAGAGTTGAGGTTTTCATTCAAAAGGTGAAATCCAGGTGCTAAAGTGAATAAACATCCCCTGTCAATTTGGCAAACCTCATGCAGAAATAACTCCTTCCAAAAGGCTTTATTAGTTACTGACATTAGATCCATCTTCCCCCTTTCCTAGAGCCACTCAGTGTGGCTTTAGCAAGGCCACATAACATTCATTCTCCCTAAGGGACCTTGTTCTTTTTGGCTCCATGCTAGCTATTTTCTAAAGGTACAGTAGGTCTATTGACAAAGACCTTGAGAACAAGAAACTTCTACGAGCCAGGAGATGGGACTAAGTCCCCCAGTCAGTGTTCGAACAGAAGGCAGACAATGCAATTACATGGCGAGATGGAGCCCCAGCAGCTCATTGATTAGCAACTGGTGTAGTATGTGATTCGTTCATGGATATGATTGTTGATCTTTTCCACCTGCTCCTTCAAGCCTGCGAGGCTGGCTGACTTGACGATTAATGCATTGTTGCTTTTCTGAATTTCCGTTTCTATAGCTAAGGAGAGAGGCAGTTGGAGTTAGGGGAAGATAGTCCAGGAAAATTATATTATGCCCTCAAGCCTTCATCACCCTTCTGAAAATCGACACCCTCTCACCGTAAGTCAGGAGAGCACTATCAGAATCCAACAGAACAGCCAACCATGCTAGCCCTGCCTAGGACATGCCCAACCCCAATCAATAAGTGCATCATAAAGCCACTCCTCCACTGTCCAGGGCACCACATAACATCAGTCAATGTTTCTTTCCAATAAAGCCTGCCCCCCACCCCTCCAATAAAGCTACTCCAGACAGTGACCATTGAAGTCCATGGAAATTCCATTGCTGACATCAATGGCTGGGCAGAAACAAGCCCATACTGTATGCACCTCATGTTCTGGAAGGGAAATTGCACACAGGCCTATTTAGCAAGGTCAAGACTCCTTGCTGAGTTCAGCAATCTACAAGCAGCATTAAGTGCCTGGTACGAACAATAAGCAGCAGCATCCGATCAAATCCCTGACACGGAGAAGCACCTTTGATAAATGATGTTCACTAGAGCCACTGCTTTATCACTGAAAGCGGTGCCAAAGCTCTGGCCTGATAACTACTTGGGCTCAGTGCCATTCTCCACCAGCTTGAAAGGCTCGAGCTTCTGACCAGGGCACTTAATCTGCCCCGTGGCTGGCACCCAAAGTATACTGAATGAGGCCCTTAGACACGAGTGCTGGAAATGGAAATGAGTGCATGGCACATGAGATGAAATAGAGAAGCAGGTTATTGAAGCTAGTCCAGAGTGGCACAGTGGAGTTGGTACATTGGCTTTTGCTCTCCAGATGCAAGTTCCGATCCCTGCATGGGCCACAAGGGATTTGGTGGAGTCTCAACCTCAGTTCCCCATGCATGCCTCTCACAAAATGCCCACACCGCTGGCATGGAGGGGAAAGGTACTGAAATTACACAGCAGGGCCCAAATTCATCCGGGTGAGGCCAGGGATGAACATGGTATGAGATTTCTATTACTCAACCCCATAATGTTGCACTGCAACATTATCTAGGAGCAACAGACGCAGCAATGGGAGCTGAGCAAAATGCTGTGAGGTTCAGTGATGTGACAAATGGGGGCCCATTAATCAATCCCTTTGTCATGAAAACCGCAAAGCAGACTCCTTTGTATTCAGAGCTAAGTTTAACCAGTTGTCTGGGTTTCTGTGGCTAACACATTTGTCCTCCAAGGTCTTTACTTAGGAGGATGTTTCTGGTATCTACAAGCAGAATCACTCATTCAGGGCTTGGCTAGATTAGGGGAATTTGTACTCACATAATTACATTACATTCCTGGGCAAACAGAGTTTGCATAGGGGTTATTCACCCTGCTGGTTTACAAGCCCCTTCTTACACCAGTGGATTACACCTACACTAGGGCTTTGGATTAATGGAGAGGGAGGGGGATGAGGAACCTAATATAGACAGGGCTTCAGCCATCTAATTCAGCACCACTCCCTCTCAGTCTTCTGTTCCTCTCACCAGTGAGAGCCAGCAGCCCCTCTTCTCCCCTTGGAATCATGCTCTGATTGCCTGCACAAATTTACTTACTTTCCATCCTGAGCATCATAGCCCAGGTTTCTTCAAAGAGCGCTTTTGCCTCCATGTCGATACTTTGGATCCTGCTGCCCTGAGCTCCCAGATTTGAATTCTGTCCCATCCGCCTCTTCAGCTCAGCATATTTTTGTTTGACCTGTTCAAATCCCTGTAGGAAAGTGAACGAGTAGTGCAGGTGAATTCAAGCAAATAAATGAGGTCCAAGTGATGAATGGCCTCTAGACACTGTATTGCAGCTGTGTGTTATAAATGGCCATTATTACTACTGTAGAGATATTAAAGACCCTAATAAATTTACATACTGGTTTCCAATGCCTTTATAGAAACCAATAATTCAGCATCATCTGGATTAACGTGTAGAGTACTGGTCACCCCATCTCAAAAAGATGTGAAGAAATAGGTGTTCAAAGAAGAGCAATAAGAATAATCGAGGGCCTGGAAATCTCTCACGTAAAGAGAGGTTGAAAAGCTTGGCATTGTTCACTATAGAAAGGAGATGAAGAAGAGGGACAAGATAATAGCATATCAAATAATGAATAGTTTAGAGAAGAGAGAGAGAGAGAGAGAGATCAGGAACTTCTTTTCTCCCTGTTTCATAACACAAGAAGAAGGGGACAGTCAAAGCTGATGAAAGGAAATTCTTTCCCACATTGTGGGACCCATTGCCTCGGGAAGTCATTGAGGCCACAAAATTAGCTAGATTCAAAAAGGGATTGGACATGTCTATGGATAACAAGAATATGCAGAGTTACAATAGTTAATGCTAACAATTTTTGGCAAGGATATTCAACCTCGTGCTTCTGGGCTTAAATCAAACTAATTGTTAGACCAGGATGAGACCTAATGTGGGGGCAGATTATCCTACTTCTGCTACTGCAGGGTTCTTACACCTTCCTCTAAGCCATTGGGTGCCGGCCATTGGCAGAGCTGAGATAAGTAGACTAGATGGACCTTGGGTCTGAACCAGTCTGACAATTCCTATGTTCCTAAAAACAGAGTAATTCACTTTCCCTGCACCAGTCAAATATGTTCTGCATTTATGTGGCTTTGCTCCTGCATGAGAATAAGAAGCTAGTGAAGGATTATGGGCAGAGTCATTCCTAGGGTCCTACGAGACCTCCTCCGTACCTGCTGAGCGCTCCTTGCTTCTTCACTGGCTTCTTTTGCTCTCTGCTGAGCATCTGTGGCCTGCAACCGATTCTGCTCCGCCTTGTGCCGCAATTGGCGGATTCTCTCCGTGAAGCTGTCCAGCTGATCCGTAATGTCTCTCATATTCTTCTCCATTGGAACAAGGACAGCCTGGATCTAAAAGCCAAAGGTGTTTGGTATTTAAAAGAAAAGCTCCTCCCAGAACATCATTAATGATATATCATCCTCACAGGCACGCTTATGATTTATTATTGGTCTGTAATACAGACTCAGAAGTGAGTACAGCCCCCAGCCAGGGTCCCACCATGATAGGCTTTGTTCAGCTCGACAGAACAAAGACAGTTCCTATCTCACAGAGAGACAAGTGGACAGATGGGGTAGGGCACAAGGAGAACACAAAGAGAAAAACAGTCAGACTTTTACAGCAAGCCAATTTTGCTAGGATCCAGCCTCTTTTCTACATGGTGGGGCATCATTGCATCAGCAGGGTAGGATGAAAATGGGCGGGTTCAAGGATGTGATTAGTAACCTACCCACCGTGGCAAGGCACTTTGCAGGGAGTTCCAGGAGAGTTTCAAAGGAGCAGCGTGCAGGCCACGCAGCGTTACAATGCCAGGAACGCAGCGTACATCACTCACCTCATCAATGCGGAGTTGGATGAGCTGAAGGGAATAGCTGGAGCCACTGATAGCATCCTGGGCTTCCTGGAGCACTGCGTTTGCTTGTCTCAAATTCTCCACCACTTCTTCCACGTTGCCCTCTACTGCGTTTGCTCGGTTCCTGGGAAAATGCAATAGGGAAGCATGATTAAATCAACAATGTATCATTGTCATTATGACAACACAGTATGAGATCCTGCTTTGTGGCTCAAAAGTTAAAAAATGGCAGAGGGAAATAAGCTAGACAAGGGGAACATCTTGCAAAGAGACGATGTGAAAAGCTTGTAATAGAAGCCAGAAGTCCTAAAGCCACTGTGCTTTAACCACTTGACCATGCTGCCTTCTAAGAAGAGAAGCAGTGCTGTACTTCCTACCACTAGGATGAGGAGGCAGGATGGGAAAAGAAACCAAAGCCTCCTTTAGAAGTACAACTGCTTCTAATAATTGGTCAAGTGAGGAAAGATGAATTATTTAAGGGGGAAGAAAGTGCCCAATTGGTTGCTTAAAGTTTTACGTCCGTTACACCGGCTGCCAGTTTGAAGTGAGCCTTTTTACTTTCCCCTGGAATGTCTGCACGCAAAGCCAGACTCCCCTAACTCATCGCGTTCAGCTGGGGTCAGATGCTCTCAATGGGTTTACCCTCTTATCCCATTAACCTTCTCTCCAGAATATTGCTACGACGGAGTCGTCATAAAATAAACCCATTGCAGCTCTACAAGGGCGCTCTGGTGGTGGTGGTGGTTGTAAAGGGACAAGCCTCCCCACTTTCATCAGGATAGTAAATATGCCATTTAATGCTCTTGTCCTCTCCCTTAGTAACTGTGCAATTATAATGGAGATCCTATTACTGGGTCCCTGGAAATCCCTGTTCAGCTCTATCATCTCTCATGATAGGAGCTCAAAAGAAGCAAAAAAAGGTTCCCATTGGTCAGGGAAAGATCTCCCCACCCCAGTATCTATAATGAAGGGATGTCAGACTATTGTTATTAGCAGCAGGATTTATTATATGCATTGCGATATCAGCTAGAGGCACCAGTCAAGACTGGAGTCCCATTTCTCTAGATACTGTACAGACACACAAGCTATGGGGCTAGAATCTCAGCTGATATGAAGCAGCACAGCTCCCCTGAAGTCAATGCAGATTTACACTAGCTAAGGATCTGGCCAGCAGTCAGGTGAAATTTGGTTCCGGTAATTCTGGCAGCATTATCCCAACCGTGCTGTGTAACGTGACTCAGGCACAAAGGTGGTGAATCGGAGAGGGGGAGTTGCTGGAAGGCCACGTGGACAGTGAGCAGCAGGATTGAAACGGGAGTCTCTCTCTTCTGGAGGGACTTGAGGAATGCAAATATAGGGCCACTTCCATCCATTTCCGTGGACTCTGGGTCAGGCCCATAGACTCTCATCCCATTAGCTTAAAGCCCAGCTTACCTTGCCTGTTCAGCCTCTTGCTGAAGCCTCTTGGCCTTAGCGATATCCCCAGCTGTTTGGGTGAGGATGCTCTCAGGACACTGCAGCTTAGCAGCCAGGTTTCGGATCTCAGTCATTTTCCTCAGGACCGCAGCAGTGTCCGTTGGGAGGCGGAGTGAGAGCACGTAGTCGCTGACCTCCTGGATGGTAGCAGGGTCAGTGGCTGGGTCTAGAGAGTTTACAAACAAACAAAAAAGTCAGGAAGAGCTGCAAGAATAGAGTGCGGGCAGGTCTGGGAGCACAGCACGGGGAGCCAGAATTCCAGGGCGTAGGCAATGCAGCAGGTGACCGTAAACACCAGGTTCAGGGGTTACGAATTCCCAGCTCCTCTAGCTCCCGCTACCTCCTCATTCAAGGAGTTGTGTGTGCCTGCCAACAGGCGGCCAGATTACCGCTAACTTAGTCCATTAGTGTATCCCCCATTTTACAGTCCCTCCTAAGGGACCCTAGGCAGTACTTCTGCCAGAGCCACTTGCTACGCAGATAAGATGTTCTGTGTGTCCCAGCTGTAAGTCAGTCTTTGTGGTTCCTACCACGCAGGCAGGGTTTCAACTGTGTGAGAAAATCCAGGAGGCGATTCTTTGACAACTGAACCCTCTGAGCTCAGGGGAGTCCGATCAGTTGAACAGAGAGACAATGGGCCAGATTCGGCTTTGCACAAGTCAGTGCAGGTCGCTGCACCAGCTAACACTAGGCATAAACTTGACCCATTGCCTGGAATAAAATAAGAACTGGCTGAGATTTAACTGAGGACACTGCCAAACACTTCAGCCAAGCTTCCAGCCAGAGTACTAAGACAATACCTTTGATTTGACAAAGAAAGCTGTGAGGCTAAATGTGGAGCACAGTCTGACACTAGCAACAGACTGAGTAGCACATGTATTCCAGGACAAGCCTTCTCCTAGATCACCACTGAAGGTAACAGATCTGAGAGAGAAGAGATGTGCACATCCCAAAGGATGTTAGGTTAGTGATTAGCTGGAGCTTGGTAATCTCTGTAATACCAGACAGTGCTGAATGACCTGATTTTCTTATTCAGCTAATGCTTATGAGGTTGATCCGTTATTAAAATCTGCTTATGAATTATAGGTCATCTCACTGGTTGTTGGGCACAATAACTTCTTTCACCTGGTTAATAATCTGCACCATAGAAGATTTGCTTGAGTTTATTTCAGGTCAGCAAGTGCTGCTGGAAAGCTGGTGTAGGTCTGAGTGCTGTGCAAAAACCACCATCATAACTGATGCTAATTGAGGGTCCTCAAAGGCTGTCTCGGCATCGAGGCGAAGGAGAACGTACTCTGCTCTCAGATGCTAGGATAGAGGTACAATGGCAGTGGAAGGCATGTGAGGAAGTGTCTCCCTGCTGCCGCTGTACTGTACCTACTCTGCAGATGGAGTTCTTGGTGCCCCGGGGCTGCCAATCCAGCACTTTTCACCTCTGCTAAATTTAGTTGATTTGTTTCTAACTGTTTTTTTCCAATTTGGAAAAGGAGAGTGATTCCTGGACAGCTGCAGGAAGCATGGACAGATTTCTCATTAACTTCTACAGTACAGAAGGCCGAGGTCTAGCAATTTCTGCCCTCCCTACAGCCACTTATGGTAACGTCACAGATGGCATTTGAAGGCCATTAAGGCAATGGGCTAAATCTGTCCCTGGTGTAACTCCGTGGAGGTCACCAGGGTTACACCGCCAGTAGTTAATCTAGTTCTGTGTGAATGGCACAATCAAAGCTTGACTCTGAAGATGTTGGTCATGGTCAGACTGTACTTCTACACCCCAGGGGAGAACTAATTTAAGTTTCAGGTGCTGAAGGCTCAAACCTATCTAGATATAGTCAAATACCAGAGCTGACTACATTCAACTTATATCAAAGTTAGTCCATTTTTGAATGCAAGTCTGCTGTCCGGGGCTCACGGTGCATTAGTGACATTTACACTCTTAGGCAAAGCAAAAGCAGCACTCCCTTTAAAAAGTGTTGTATCAGTTTAACAGTGTTAGAGTAAGAATATTAACCACATCTGGTTCCCTAGACAGTGCATTGTGAACTGATGCAAGGATGATATTGGGAACTGCAAGATATTATTAGAACTAAGAGAACTGTTCACAAAAAGGCCCAACACCAATCAGAACTTGCTTGTTCTCAGGTCTCATTGAAACTCGGACTGCAACTCAAATATTTGCAAACCTTTTGAAAGCTCCTGGGCCTTTTTTCCAGTAAATCTGAGGCCAATTTATTGTTTCCTTGCAACACGAATTAGGTGAAACTGAGCCATTTTAACTGAGTTTTGGGCTTCATTTGAGCTCTAAATACAAAGCAAACCTTGGAGGCGTCCAACGTACATGGATCAAAACCAAAGCAAATATTTGTACCGGGAGACAAACCCCTGGGTTTCACACTGCTGTAGTTATTTTATTTCCCCTGCTCTTCAGAAAACACATCTAGGGAGCTAGAGCTGGTGGGGATCCCAATGGCCCAGTGATTATGTAACTCTTTTGTCAGGATTCCATTTCTCAATACAACCAAGAAATCCTCTCATGAGATTTAAAGACTAAGCGGAGAGCACAAGGCCAGATCTTCAATGGTTTCTTTAACTGTACTCAGAACTGGCACATCCAGTGTAACCAGCCAACAAGCCCTTGTCCAGGTGAATAGGTGTAAGCCAGGTTGGGGGAGTGATTCCCTGACCTGGTCTCACCCCGCCCTTTTCTTGTGGCTAAGGTTTTCCATCCACAAAGGGACATGCATGGGCATGCTGTGGGCTTAGTTAAGGAGTCCCTTAGAGCTTTCCCCTCAGTGTCCTGCCCTCGCGTGCATGGAGACGGTTGGATTTACCTGACAGGAAGTTGCGGACTTGCTGGATGAATTGCTGGATGCGTCGGACGTCTCCTTCTATCTGGGTCCTGGTTACACTTACTTGGTCCCCGAGACGTCGTGCATTGCTTTGGATTTGGTTTGCAGCTGTTTCTGCTGCCCTGATCTGCCAACAACAGTGCCCCCGGTAAAGTCAGTTTCTGCTTGACACAAGACAGCCTAGAACGCTCACCAGCCCTGTCCAGACTCTGCAACCAACTCCCTGGGTGACCTTGGGCAAGTCACTTCACCGCTCTGTGCCTCGCTTGCCCCATTGTCAACAGATGGGAGGAGAGGCTTGAGGGACAAAGATTTAAGATAGGATTTTCAAAACAGACTTTCAATGGGACTTGGGCTTCTAAGTCACTAGTCTCCTTGGAAAATTCTGCCCTTAGCATGTGCAAAGTGCTGTGAGATACTCAAATGAAAGTCTGTAGGAAGGGACTAATGTGGCTAATGTGTATATGCTGGGTCCTAATGAATGATTGTGCAGAGAATCTGTAGCATCAGAGCAGCATCGAAAGGTTTGAGAAGTTTAAGGTTTCCAAACCCCCACTCCATCTAGCACTGCTGCCCTGGAAATTCAGTGAGAACAAGCTCCTTGGTGACCTTCCCCGAGTGCTGGAAACACCTGGAGAAGAGCTGTTCCCTGGGTATTTCAGACCTTTGGCTTCCACTTTCAGAGGGAGCCAGGACATGCGAGTCAAGCACAAAAACGACCATTTTTTTTAAAGAAGTTTCTACTGACATTTCCAAGCCACCCAGGAAATTCAGGTTTAGGTGAAGTTTGAGGTGAGTTATTTGAGCTCTCCCTAGCCCTGCCGGGGTAAATATGCCGGCCATCCCCCTCTCTGCTTAATGAAGGTGACACCTCCATTGCAATGTATCATGGGAGCAGGTGAATGCACAGTGTGTATGCTAATCAGCCCCTCCTTGCCGTTACCTGTGGAAGCAGACACCCCTGAGCTCCTCATTCCCTGTACCTACCATCTGCATGGTCTGCTGGAGCTGAGTGTTTAAGCCATGGAGCTCTCTGGTGGTCTTCTCAGCAGTTCTGATTGCGCCCCGTGACAGCGGAATGATCCCTCTGCAGCTGAGGCCTGTTCCGCACTCCATTGTGCTGTCCTGCGGACACAGCTCCCCGTCACAGTGCCCAGGGGTGCAGGCCTTGGATCTGACACCACTGCAAATCTAAACACAGAGAGAAGCCGCATGCTGGTGAGAAGGCTCTGATGGTATTGGTGCTACTTCTCCATCAATGGCACAAAGACCATAGCGGAGATGAACTTTCCAACACAGACACAAGAGAACAGGTGTATTTGCATATCCATGGGTGCACAATTCTTTTAGGACTATTTCTGGTGTAGCATTCAGCACGGGCTTAAAGGAGAGTGCATGCAGGCGTGGCTACATATGAGCGTAGTGCAGGAGTGTAACAGAAGATGCACACAAGAACAGTTCGTGGAGCGTAGTGAAAGGTATGTCTTGCAATACAGAGCAAATACATTCTGTGGGGAAGAGTTTATACAGAGCAGTGGAGGGTATGCACAGATAGCTGTATGTAACTCAGGGTAAGCATACCTGGGTACAGTAGATGGAGTAGATATTTTTGGAGGCAGGTATGCACTCACTATTTGGTAGCTGTCAGTGGCAAGGAAAAAATGGTATAGTTTCCTGTGCTCTTGTTATCAGATCTGTGAGCAACAGAAGAAGCTCCATACAACACACAAGGGTGTCTAGAAATAAGCTAATACGCTTCAAAGGGCCAGGGCATGCCTGGTCTCCAAGTTATATGTGATGCCCACGATACCCTGCAACCCACAGGTTTGGGATTGCAGTCACCTTCTAACATTATCACTGGGGTCTATTCAGTGAGGAGGCCAAGAGAAGCAGCCTGGGAGGGTTCAGAACTGGTGCAGGGACTGGCATTTACCCCCTTCCTGTCACAGGCAGGGATATGTCACCTGGGGGTGGCTCTGATGCTGTGAAAAGCAGCGAGATGAATGGGTGATGGTCTCCACAGCAACATACATCAGGAGACGCTGAAATGCGTCTCCATGGCAATAGCAGAGCAGCGTAGGGAGGAAAAAGAAAAGGAGACCTTGACCAGAAATCAGACAGCTCTTGGAGACATAATGCAGTGAGAACCGCTGAGGAAAAGTTTCACTGGTGGGGAGACCATCCAGTGCCGTGGTATCTGCTGTTACCAGACAAGCAATGCTCAAGCTTGGCTCAGCTGAATAGCACCTGCCAAGAGCCCCAGGACCACACCCCTTCGGGACCTAAAACAGAGCAGTGATGCATCCTGTGGATGCTAGAGATCCCCGCGTACCATGCTAGGCTGCTTGGGTCAAGGTGGAGTAGTGCAGGCTGGGACCTCTACCCTCTGTGCACTGCAGCCGGGTCTTAAAAATGAGAGTGTCTCCTAGACAAAACATAGGCCTGCACTGCAAGCAGAGGTGCGAGCACAGCACGTGTAGACATGCTCAAGCTAGCTTTGATCTAGCTAGCTCAAATACCAACAGCAACTAAGTTGTGGCATCACGACTAGCCACTTACGTATATACCTAGGGTCCTGGGTGGGCTTGAACAGCCTGTGTGATAGGTGCTCAAGCTAACGAGATCAAATCCAGCCCTGTTTGTACCCACGTGCTGCCGTCACACCTCTGGCCGCAGGTAGACGTATCCTTCGTCAGAGATGCTTTGACCACCTCATTTCAGCCTGCGACAGGATCCATGTCTGCTTCACCTTATTTATAGTTGGTGTCAAGTTGGGGGAGGAGGCCATCTCGCCCTGGAGGGCCTCCAGCCTGGAGGTGTGGTCTGTAAAGCTGCTTTCCAGCCTCTCAGTCGTTCTCCGGTTCTCCCTGGATCGAGTCAGCAGGCTGGAAGTGCCCGTTATGCGGTAGCTGGCGTTGGTGGAGCTCTGGTAGGCAGAGCTGACAGTCTTGAAGGCTCCTGCAGGAATAAAACCATGTGCAACGTGAATGGCTTCATGACTCATCAATGCAGTAGTGCAACCTAAACCATGGGATTGATTTTAGCCTGCTGGAGAATGTGTGGTGGGGAAGGGGGAGGAAGCCGCGCGAGTGGTTAGTCACAAGGATAGCGATTAACGGTCCTTTTATTGATTGCTTCACTGTGAACTGCAGCCTCCCTTGTGTGTCTAAGTCTGTCTTTGAGCTAATGGCTGTAAACAAAACCAGAACAAAACACAGACAGGTCCCGATCCTGGGCTGCATTCCAGCCACCCTCAGTGCAGTCCAGGAGCAGAAGCTTTATGGCACGTCTATGGCTTTCCCACGCCAATCCTGGGGACCTACAGGGCCTGGAGTAGTCCATGGGGGGGCTGCTCTATCTCACACCCATCTAAGAGGGACTGTCCTGATAGCATGGGATCACGTGATTCCCTGGCCATTCCCACGTTCCCCTAGCCAGAAACCCTCCACTGGGAGCCAGAGGAGGGGGCGGCACAGGCGTGGCTGCAGGAACTTCGTACCCCTCTATGGTTATTCTCCTTTGCTGGAGCGGAGCAGTTGGAAGTGGCTATAGGGGGACCAAGGATGTGGACCCACAGATGAAAGGAGAGGAGTGACCCCTACAGGGCAATGAAAGAGTGAACTCACTTTAAAGTAAAACAAACCACTGGTAAAACCTTAGGTTGAAAAATGCAGAGGATTCTGGGTGGGATTCTAGTATTCAGCTGAACCCCACAACATCTCAAAGGGAATCTCACTACAAACCGCCGGGAAGCTCACTACAAACCGCCAGGCTTTTCTTGGTTTCCTGCTGAAGCTATTAAGATTCTCAGGTTCTCCATCCGACCCCACCAATCCGCCCAGCGGAGGACCCCTTTGGAATCACGGCAAGGGAGTCCTGCTTCCTCTCTACTGCTCAACAGACACGGACACCCAGCCCTCAATGGGAGCAATCAGAGAGAAGCAGATGGAACTGCACAGAAGAAAGATGGAATCTACCATAAGCCTCGGAGGGTGTTCTCCAGCGCTTCAGAGCAGTGCTTTGCCAGCAAAGCCGAACAGAAGTACAATGTGCAATGAGTCAATGAGGGAAAGCAGAAAACAATAAGAAATCTTTAGGGAACTAGCTATAGCAGGGATGTGAAGGCAATCCACCAATATCATCATCACAAGGCCTAATTAGCTCTTCCCAACAGTGCCTGACAACCATTTGGCTCTCTCTTCTACCCCATCACCTCTTCCATCTGTGCAAAAGCTTCATTCGTTCAGCTCCCTTCTAGTCCTGGTGACAGATTCTCCGAGGGGCTTTTATTTCCCTTTTTAATTAAGCTCAGGCTGTGTTTTAGGAGGAGAGGTGCTTCTGTAACATCCAGAAGAAAGTTTGTGATGTCTGGGAGGGAAATCAGCTGGACTGCTGGGATACTAGTAGCAACACTGACCTTCTGATGCTAAGCTTTGGAGACGAATTCTACCAGCTGTAGGTGCAAACTTGCTGATGAAAGCTTAGAAGTTTGGTGGAAAGAGCACCTCTAACCTGCATAACTATTTGCTGATCCTAAATTGCCCATCGACACAGAGATGCTCCTCACCCATCCGACTGGTGGAAAATTAGCCAGAATTGCAGTCACCACGGATGGTCGAGTACAACTGCATTGAGCCAAAACTGCCTACCTGAAAGGTCTGTGCGGCGGCTGGCTTCAAACTGGGTCTTCTTAATCTGGTACTGCCCATTAATCGAAAGCAGGCTTTTGTCCAGGTCTTTGAGATCATTGGCTAGAGAGAAGGTGTCAATCACAAAGGGTAGGTTGGGATTTATGCCCTGGACCTGCTGTCTGAAATCGAGAAAGGAGAAAATAAAATGAACCATATTAGAGAGCACCATCTGTCTGTCTCACGTGTATTACGTGTAGAGAGCCCAGCTGAGATCAGGGCCCCACTGTGCTAGGCATGGTACACACATAGCAAGAGAGAGCTGAGAGTTCCTGCCCCAAAACTTCAGCATCCGAATAGATACCGGACAAAAGGTGTGAGGGGAAACAGAGGCTTAGGCAGGGGAAGGGATTTCTCCCGATCACAGAGGAGGTTGGTGGCAGAGCCAGGAATGCATCCTCAATCCAAGGTCAGCACTGCCTCTCTGCCTTATCTGTCTGTCTAATCATCTGGGGCGATAACTTCACTAGGATGACCTGTGCAAACAATGGGAATGAGGGGCTCACAGTCGGTTCTACCCCGTCTGTGGATTAGGAGGACAGATAGGTTGGCAGGATGAGCACATATGGCAGGACCTCCACATTGTGCGATCGCTGAGCCAAGCAGACCTATTTTAAACTGAAGAACAGGCAAAAATATTAGTGCGATTAAATGTGTAGCGTGCTAAGTCTGTATGTTGAGCCCCTCTCTAGTATTAGGTCCACACAGGATAAGAGCCTACTACTGCAGCCAGCCCAGGGAGTGCTTCCTTTGGTTCAAGTGCTAGATGCCGGTATGGGGTTCTTGGCACTGGGAACGGATCATCTGTACAAGTGAGGAGGAGTCCTTTACCTGATTGCTGTGAGCATGCTGGACACCTGACCCAGGCCCTGCTCTGTCACTAGTGGGTTGCCAAGGATCCCCTGGATCTGCTGAACACTGCCTTCCGCTTCCAAGATGCGGGTGCTGAAGCCAGCACCCCCCGTACCCAGCTGCAGTCGTGAGGTGGAGTTTCTCAGGCTGGCTTGGCGCAGGCCGAACCGGCGAATGTCGCTGTCGTAGGTCTGGAAGCAGGAGTGGCACGTCTCGCAGTGGGGGTAGTTGCTGCAGTAACCCCGCTGGCACTGGTCGCAGCGAGGCCCAGTAAAGCCAGGGCGGCAGAGACAGCTGCCTGTGGTCTTGTCACATCCCATCCCCTCCGTGCCCTGGAAATTGCAGTCACACTCTGTTGGGTGGAGAGGGGGAGGTGAAAGCCTGTGACAGGCAAAGCGGTGCTGCTAAATCAAATCCCCATTGAATCCCGCTTCCCTTGCATGGGCCCTCTGTGGAAAGGAATTAGAGTGGTGAGCCCCAACATCTCGCACCTTATCCAGGATGCAGAGGGGAAGGCTCTTGCATGGAGGGTGGCAGGAAAGGACCCAGTAGGAGGCAGTACTAGGCACACGGAGGGATGGGAAGAGGAACAGAGAGACACAGGGGGGCTGTTCCAGAGGGGAATGGTCTCGTCTACCAAAAGCAGCAAGGTTTTGAAGTGGCAGGACAAGGGCCAGGAGATATTTTTAGAAACAACAATTCCCTGGTGCTGAAAAACAGTGATAAAAACCGATTGTACGGACCTCTGCATCCTGTCCTGATGTCACCGTAGGACCCATCTGGACAAATCCGCAGGTGGGCAGCAGAGCAGGTACGCCCCGCGAAGCCTTCCCGGCACTGACACTGCCCTGTGAACTACACCAAGAGAGGCACATCAGTGGGGAAACAGCTTTGAAGAATGTCTGTAGGGAGACAGGGGGAAAGCCCTCCTTTGCTTGTTCTTGAACTAGCAAATCACATTCCCTCTTAGCAATGTCCCCTTTGTAGCAGGACTAGTGTACAGAGTCCCCGGCAATGGCAATCCCATGCTTTCCCTGGGGAGAAAGTCTCATCAAGCTAGTGGGAGGATGTCTCCTGGGGTTGGGAATCCTGCTCCCAGCTCAGAGACAACTTAAGAGGCCTGAATCCTTGCAGCCCCTGTTGGCTCAAGCGCTTTTGACAACCCACATCCCTGATGTTTGAAAAAGTTGGCCCGAGTCCCATGCTAGCTGTGATGAGAGTTCTCCTCCCCTCCGCGTCTCCTGCACCATGGAGACCAAAGAGCTCTCTCTCCATTATTCAAGCCCTTCTGCTCTGACTCATTGGCTCAGAATCTTTACTAGGCCAAGGGCGAGAAACAAAGAATGTAGCACAGGATTTGATGTTTCTGCCATCGGAAGATGCTGATCTTACAGACAGTAGACAATGCAAATGCAGGGATATTACCATATCTCACATTGACAGTATGTGGGGGGTGGGTGGAGATTGGGGAGAGATCATCAGCTGGCTTTAAGTAGGGAGATGTGAGTCCTTAGACACCTGTCCCCACACTGCTCTGACTGGTGACCGCAGCTTGAACCATTCTAGGGGCCCACTCAGTCTCTGAATCACCCTCAGACCCCTGCAGTGCCCAGGGGAATGCAGGAACACTGAATTTCATTCCCCTCAGTCTCCACTGTGCATGCCCAGCTCAACAAGGCCCCTTTCCAATGCTTGTATCAGCTGGCAGTCCTCTGCAGCCAATGTCTGTTACTGAATTCATTGCATGTTCCACTCTCCCAACAAAGAGACTATAATTAAGGGCAAAATACCTGCTTGCTCTGCTTTAAAAGCCGATGATTTTGCAGGGTCATGCTGCCCCTTATCCTGCCCCATACAAGTGCTAAGCTCAGTCTGCAATGAGCCATCCCAAAGGAAAACTCCAGTCCTTGGTGAGGAAGACCCTCTTTCCTTTACAGGGGGAAAGAATCAACTGACACCCAATTCTCAGGGACGGCTATAATGCAAAAATACAACCTGGGGCTGAGATTGGATTGTGACTCGAGACTTGGGCTCAAATCCCTGCTCTGCCACAGACTTGCTGTGACCCCTGCACAAGTCACTTAGCCTCCCTGTGCCTCAGTTCCCCATCTGTAAAATGGGGATAATAATCCTCCCTTTGTCAGTATCCTCTGTTTTGACTGTAAGCTCTTCCAGGCAGGGACTGTGTCTTATTACATGTCTGTGCAGCTCCTAGCGCATCGAGACACCAATCTGCGCTAGCCCCTAGGGATGTCTACAACACAAATAATAAACAAATAATTTTGATTCCAGATTTCAAACAGCCCCATGTTCGAGATGTTCAGACCTCAGGTTTTCATTTTGTGTAGGATAGAGGAATCAACCACAAAAACTGGATCTGGGTTCGAATCCTGAATCCTCACAAAGCGTGGTCCCAGTTGTTCGATTTTAGGACCCATCTCCAATTGTTAGAATTGGCATATTTTTCCCAATACATAACCTGAATTTTCCTTGTTCTCCTCTCACGGATTAATTAGGATAATTAGTCCCCCTTCTCCTTCTCCCACGTCTTAAGAGCTCCTATTAGGATTTCTTTGCTAAATAGCAGACCTTTCAAATGGCTTAGCCTTGTCTTTGTAATTACTGGTTTGTCTTGCTGCACTCTATGAAGGGCATGATGGACTACAGACAATTGCCGGGTGCTTTAGGGACATGTGATGCAGCCCTTTCCTTAAGGGGAGAGGCAGGTTCCATAGAAAAGCAGCAAGATGAGACCATCTAATAAGCGGTCTCAACTCTGCGATCACTC